TCCCCGCAGAGGAAAAAGGACTGACAATCTTTCTGAAGAACCATAAAACATGATTTTTTTTTCTAGTTAGGATGTTTCAACTAACCAGAGTTAATTCCCCAACCTTACTATAACAAATCAATACACATTTGATCTGGTACATATATAAACATACCTATTTGACTATGGAAATAAAAATAATACATTAAATATTAGCTTAACTTGTACGAAACCATAGGGCTGTTTCTCTTAGCCTGTGGGATGATTTGTATTTGCAGTACACCTGAGACAGAAAGGATATATCCAATACCTTTTTGATTGCATTTTAGATTTGTTCATAATGTGACATTGAAACACTGAGATCAGTATTTGGACTTGTATATTGAAAACTGAATATTGAAGAATTGGGGTATAAGAATGAAGTAACTGAAGCCAGCTATGGGGGCACATATGTATGCATTAATAAATTGATCTGTGGTCTTCCAAGAATCACCCAGCTACTGCAATGACTAATTTGCCACTCTCCCCTGACTAAATGCCATTGGAAGTTTTATTTTGGTGGCTTGTTGATGAAGAATATAATCAATATATTAACAATTTCTCAGCCTGTGTTAGCAGAGAGGAATCATTGCCATGCTAAGGGAGGGACAAAGAGCCACACAACGAAATTGCCCCGATGATTTTCTCTGCTGTTCTTTTGTTTTGTTTTGTTTTGGTTAGCTAATGGAAGGACACTGAGAATTTCCTGAACAAGAAAGATTTTTGCTGATATACATATGTCTCCCTGGACCCCTTCCAGCCCTCAAGCTGAGTAAATCCTCCACTTCTTTGGCCTGATGGAAGGTGTTCAGAGAGATGAGTGATTCTCTGTCGGTGACTATAATAGAAGAAATAGTAGGCTTCCTTTGGAGCCTGAGGACCTAAATAGGATATTTTGCTTTGCCGTTGTAGGAGAGTTCACTGGTAACAAGTGGCCCGAGATCATCTGGTGAGCTTCGCTCGAGAGCATTCACTCTGGATCTGCTTGGTGGCGCTATAGTGGCAAGAGTCATCATCCTATGACCAGACACGCTGAGGACTACTGAATTAATCAGCCTCAGCACAATGGACACTTTTTTCAAAAAAATGATTTCTTTATGTACTTGAAAGTCAGAGTTACTGAGAGAGAGAGAGATCTTCCATCCACTTGTTGACACTCCAGATGGCTGCAATGGCTGCAGCTGGGCCATGCCAAAGCCAGGAGCCAGTAGCTACTTCCAGATCTCCCTCATGAGTAGCAGGGGCCCAAGCTTTACTTTTTTTTATTATTATTTTTTATTTTTTTGACAGAGTGGACAGTGAGAGAGAGAGAGACAGAGAGAAAGGTCTTCCTTTGCCGTTAGTTCACCCTCCAATGGCCGCTGCGGCCAGGCCATTAGCAGCTAGTTAGATCAGAAGTGGAGCAGCCAGGACATGAATTTTATCTGCTTTATCTGCTACTCCACAATGCTGACCCCCAGCATTGTGACACTTTGGTCACATAATTCCTTGTTGTGTGGACTGTCCTGTGCTTAATGTGATGTAAGTATTTCACAACATCCAATGTGTCTACACACTGTATGTGTGAGTAGCATCCTCTCACCCTTCCATCCCCATTGACAACCAATGTCTCCAGACCTCACCAAATACCCTACTTGAGGACCATCTAGATAACTAGCACTGAACTCAGAATTTCAAAATAGGATTGGAAGAGTTTTCATCCACATCTAATGAAATGAGCATAATAAGTGATATTAAAAATAGAGATAAAATTCAGCAATTTCTTTTCAAGAACTTAGTATCATTTTTCTTGTGTATTAATTTGTTAAAGGAGGTTTCATCGTTTACGCTTCCAATTGTTGAAACCATAGTAGCAGAGCTCATGAGACAGCACTATTATTGAGTATCACAGATCAGTGAGATTATACCCTTACAAGAAAATAAACAAAAGACGGTGTTTATTCTGCATATACAGTAATATGTCAAGAAGTATAATTAGAATGGTATAAAGGCTGACACTGTGGCATAGTGAGTAAAGCTACTGCCTGCAGATGACCACTGACTTAGGCAAATCGGGGCTGGTACTGTGGCTCAGCAGATTAAAGCCCCAGTTTGCAGTGCCAGCATCCCATATGGGCGCCGGTTGGAGTCCCGGTTGCTCCACTTCCGATCCAGTTCTCTGCTATGGCCTAGGAAAGCAGTAGAAGATGGCCCAAGTCCTTGGGCCCCTGCACCCATGTGAGAGACCAGATGAAGCTCCTAGCTCCTGGCTTCAGATCGACAGAGCTCTGGCCATTGCAGCCAATTGGGGAGTGAACCAATGGATGGAAGACCTCTCTCTCTCTCCCTCCCTCTCCCTCTTTATCTCCCTCTCCCTCTCTCTTTCTCTGCTGGTCCTTCTCTCTCTGTGTAACTCTAACTTTCAAATAAATAAATAAATCTTTTTTAAAAAAATGCTATAAATAGTAGTAGAATAAATTGCTAAGACTCCCAAATTTTTTTAGTGGTGCCAAAGTTGAAACAAATGCAAGAAAGTCAGACAAAATCAAATGTATAAGGACATATTTGAAGAAGAGAATTTACATACTGTAAAAATTTCCTTTCCTCTATGTATCTATATTTTCTCACTAAAGTCTTTGGGCTATAAACCTCCTGATGATAAGGACATTGTCTTAAAATGACTAGAATTTTTTTTTCGTTCTATTTATGAAGTTATTAAACTTTAAGTTGTCTGATTAATGGCTGTTGGTACTGAATCTTTAATTTTAAATAATTTTCTATTTATTACCTATTTGTTTAGTTTCTAAATATATCATGCTTCTGATGTTGTTATATCTATGTGATTTTTCCTGCTTCAAATTTCACTCCCTACCATAATGCAAAGGCTTTTATGAAAATTCATTTTGAAACGTGTAATTTCCTTGTAATATCATGTAATATTTCTCTTCTTCTCTTGGAAGAAGCCAGGTTTTCTTGCACCTCTGTGGATGTGTCCACGTGGTTTCTTCAGCTGGATTATCCTCTGCCTCTTTCTTGACTTGCCTATTCTTTTTAAGAATTATATTCTTTATTTCAAAGACAGTTACAGAGAGAGGTAGAGCCAGAGAGAGATCTTCCATTCCACTGGTTCACTCCCCAAATGACCACAATGGCCAGAGCTGAGCTAATCCAAAGCCAGGAGCTTCTTCTGGGTCTCCCACGCAGGTGCAGGGGCCCAAGGAGTTGGGCCATCCTCTACTGCCTTCCCAGGCCACAGCAGTCAGCTGGATGAGCAGCTAGGACTCGAAACGGTGCTCATATGGGATGCTGCAGGCTGGGGCTTTAACCCACTGTTCCACAGCACCAGCCCTGACTTGCCTATTCTTAAATACTAAGTCAGTGGTCATCTTATCAGCCTTGAATGTCCTAGTTAAGCCAGATGTTTCTCCTCTCTTCACTGCACTCAACTTTAATACGCACCTCCTGGAGAGCCCTCCTGCTCTGTGTCTTCTTCACAACTCTTGGGGCTGCATTAAAGCATTTATTATTTTGTGTAGTAATTCTGTAAATTGCGCCTTGCTGAAACCTTCTCTTTCCTCCTGTTTCCCTTTGAGGAAAAGTAGTTTTGTGGATTGTTTCTCTCCGTGGACCTTCTCCGATACCCTCCCAATCATAGACCTCCCTGCTGCTGCCTTCAGCCAATGAGAGGTTCCAAGTCACCATTACCCCAGTCCATCTCCCAACGCCATTACCTTTCCATCCTCCTTGAACTCTAGTTTAATTAGTGACTTGAGCTTCCTGTGTCTTGGGTGATATTAGACTAAGTGGGGAAAATAATGGTGCCTACTTAATTGAGTTGCATACAATTAAATGAGTTAATGCATATAGAGTGCTGAGAACTTGTAATAAGTTTGCTAATTTATTATTAATACTAATTTAGGTGGGGAGGCATTTCTGTGTTTGCAGTGTTGCAGAACTTTGCCTTACAAGGACTGTGCCTCCACTCAGTGTTTCAATTTTCCTTCAAATTCCTCCTGTGATTCATTGTGCTTGACATCCCACCCATTTCCACAGGAGGAGGCTTCCTCTTCTCAATTCTGGGATGCAGAGAGCTGGAGTAACATGTCAAGCTTTAGCCAATAATTCTGGAAGAGAATGGTCTTCCTTCTGTGTACAACAGTTATTTGCTTCTTGTAAATCCTTTCAATTTCCCCACCAGGGAGAGCTATGGCTTGTTGCCTACCAGGGATCAGCAAGAAGAAAGGAAACTTTGAAAAATCGAAACATGAAATTGCTTAGAGTCAACTTGGCCAACTATAGCACATATTCAGGAAGGAGTGCTTTGTTGGTTAGCTTTGTTCTGGCTAGGCCCTTCAGAAACATTCAACAAGCCTACCACTAGCACTTCCTATCATTACAATTTTTATTATATTTAAGCATGTCACATATTTTCTTGTTCCACCTGAGATCTGTGTCATACTAAAAAAAATTTTAAAAAAAGATCACTAATTATGCCAGGTTTTTTTCACGAAGATTGGCGCCAGTAGTGAATTCAGTTCTAGAATCTTCCTCCAAAAGTGATGGTCAAAGGAGTTGATCAAAGTATTCCACCAGTTTCTCTACTTGTACATTTGCACAGAGAAGAAAGGACCAGGTAAACAGGATGAAGAGTTTGGCAAAGAGAAAATAAAAATCTGAGTTATATATAATCTTACTATTTTAAAACATTCAGAGACATAGAATTTTAAATTCACTATTTATAAAATGGGCATGATACAAACTTTTTCCATTACCCTAAGAAGTGTTCAAATTAAAAGTTGAATATAATGTGATTATTATTTCTAAACTAAGACATGCTGTTAGATTTTGATTTTGTGTGCCCTATTAATATCTTTGATAAAAACAATCTTAATAACAATATTTTAAAATTTAAATATATCTTATCTATATAACTTTTTAAAAGTACCTCTTCCGGGAGCATGATTTGAAAAGGTTAATTTATCTATTTTGAAAGTGACAATATAATAAAATTGGTGGTTATGAGGATAGGGAAATTGATTATTTTAAAATACATTAATGCATAATTCATGCATTGTGGTTCATTGATTAAGAGAATAAGTGACCATATGGAAAATACTAAGATGCAGACAGGTTTAAAATGTTGACCAGAATGTTTTCAGCACACTAATTCACTTCAGGTGGGAGAGACCACATTACTTTTATCTGCCCTGTCCTGGGCCACCTTTTCTTCATCCAGGGTCACGTGTTTAATTGTTCATCACAACCGCACCTGGTGACCAGTGCTTTTTCACAGCTGCCAAAGACTTAGAGACTTAGGAGCATTTTGCATTTCCATGGTGATGTGCACAAACAACAAAAAAATGTGCTTCCCTGCATGTGCGATTAGCACAGCCACCACAGAGTCTGCATGGACATTTCCAAAAGTTTGCTTTGTGCCGCCCATGGTGGCTTCATTAGGGGCAACAACAGGGACGCCCAATTAAACTGACGTTAGTCCCGAAGAGAACTTCATCTGTGAAGGACTTGCCTTTCCTGTCTGACTGCTGGGGAGGAAAGAAAGCTACACTTACGGTTATTCACCGGATAAATATTTCAGAGCCATGTATGAATAATTAGTGCAGACGCAGTGCCATTTCAACATCATGAGTGAAGTAAAGGAAAAAAGAAAATTCATTTTAAGTTCCGAGTCTTTTTGCACTACAGAGCTGGAGTCCTCTATGCACACAATAGATTAACTACCCTCGGTGCATACTATATTTTGCCCAGCCCTTAATATTCTGAAGCTGGACTAAAGCAGTCGTTATCCGCGGCGGTGCCTGGTGGTTTGCAAGCCCAGCACTACCCACCCAAGTGGCTGTGATACCGGCTTTCAGCGAAGCCTTATTACTCTTAAAAGAGCAATTTGGTTGGTTGCACGGCTATTAGGATCACACAGGCAGGCTGAAAGCTGTCAGTAGAACTGCTTCTCATCTCTTTCACACAATTCTGACATCTCTTCTCTTTTCGGCTGGACACAGACCTTCCTGTTTTTATCATTTTCAATCAAGCTCACCCAGAACGCCGCGGAATATATTCCCACTGAAAGCAAAGTGGAGAACAGAATTATCTGTGAGCTCTTGGAGGGGAAGCAGTGCCGACTGCGTTCTGAGAAGGAGCTGGATCGGAGAGAAATGTAGCTTGGCTCAGGGCTACATCAGGGAGCTGCTACTTCAGCTGTTAAAGATGGCAAAGCAACACCTACCTCAGGTTGTTCAATGATTCCTGCTATTTTCATAACCGGGAGGGAAGAGGATGTGAGAAATTTTTGTGACATTAACTTGTGGAAATGTTATCATCCGAGAAAGTGGGGAGAATTACTACGCTTGAACTTCTCTGCGTTTTGTTGCTCTTCCTCTCTGGACCAACTCTCAGCAAGCTGACCAGGACCCCCTGGAAAGGCAAACCTTGGAAGGGGGGTAAGTGCTCAAAGTTCTGTGTTAAAGATCTGAGCGGAGTTCACCAGGCTGGCTAAGGGCAACTCCAAGGGAAGAGGAGCTGCATCTGTTTGGAATCAGGTTTTTATTTCAGAAAAGGGAGTCTGTGTTGTAAGTGGCTAGGAAAGAGTTTTTTCTCTCCTCTTGATACAAATATATTTTTGCAAGTTTTTTTCTTTTTTTTTTTTTTTCACTGAGCTTTCAAAGCGTTACAATGATTGTTTCCAGCAGGGAGGCTAGAGGGCCAGATGCATGCTGCCTTGTGCTAGGATATATGTTTTATCTCTAGGAAGCTGCATTCTTGTTAAAAAAAAAAAAAAGGCAATGGGTTCTGAATATGCTAGCTCCCTGAATTGTTGGTAGATTTTGTGAAATGATCAGAGGGTTGTCTGAGAAGGGGCATGTTATGAAATGCAGTGCCACCAACACTAATTTTCTGGCTGACTCGATCAGAGTTGATGTGTTAATAAAGATAAATTGTGTTAACTTTATTGAAAAAAAATTCTGCTGAAGGAGAAAAAGCCTTTCGGTACTTGGGAGTATTGCCATCCATTTTCTTCTGCTGTCGAAAAATTATTATGAGATGGTAGAGACTTTTTGAGGCTGTGAACATTTCTCTTGGCAAAATTCAGTTGGTTCTGCTTGTCTGAATGCCATTTGTTTACGCTAAACACAAGTTATCAAGGTATGTGTCATGTGCATGCTGTAAGCTAAAATGATGCTGCACAAATATCCCATGAGAGACTTTGTGGAAGCATTTGTATGTTTTAGGAAGAAGCTTGGTAGGAGCTATCTAAGGATTGTGTTTTCCACAAGCATTCTTTTTACCTAAGGTTTTGAGTTTAGCTCTAGAAATATTTTCTGGGTCTCCCCCCACAGTTGCTTTGCGGTGTCAGTTCTGAGCTGAGGTTAAAGAGAAGCCTGAACATTAACAAGAAGTTTTAATAATTGATCACAGAGTCTCAGCAGGATTTCCTAAATACTCAAGTCCTTTCAGTTTGGTCTTTCTGTTGCTCCTATTGTTGCATTAAAGACTTTCATTACGCATATATCTCCTGCACCTTAGAGGGCTAGATTCTAACAGGCGCCTAGCTTAGATGGCTGGTGCAGGTCCACCCAGAGGAAAGGTACTGCAAATACTCTTTGGCCTTGTCAGTTATGTCACCACATTCCTCTATTGCCTACTGGTATCAGTGGATTTTTCGTGCAAACTGCAAGCTGTTATTTATGTTAGCCTGTGTGACAAATTTGGGTGACTTGGGATCTTGAGATGTATGGTGTTATTGACTCTAGAGGATGTCAAGAGTGTTAACTTGTATTTCTTACATACATTTTTCAAAGACCGTGAGCGCCTATACCGTGTCAAAGTTCAATTTACTGTGTTAAACTTTAGTAGGAAACTTTGGGGCTCCATATAGCCAGTGAGATAGTTAGATGTCTATAAAATTTTAGAGAAGTTGTTAGCCTTGTCGAGAGACTTCAAAATGTGCATGTTACTAGGCATTTATTCATTCCACACAGCTTTCAATACAGATGCGTTGGATTTCATTTGTAAATCAGGTCTGAAATGTTTCATCTTTGAACATATGACTACTTTTCCCAATGTACTCTAACTAGCTCAGCTAGAAATTTGCTAGCTCTGCTGTATGATGATGATCTGAGTCAAGTGCAGAAACAGGCAATCATAGCGACATATTTCATTTATTGTTAACAGAGTCTTGTGTACTTTGGAAAGGTCAGTTGAGCGACTGAGAAACTTTCAATGTGTTGACTATACTTGAAAATTATTTCCTTTTTAATGCCTGTTTGTCACTGTATATGCATTGCAAAAATATTTTCCACAGAGCCTGTGTTGCTGTGATATAGCTTTGCCTTGATATGCATATGTACATGTTGTAAATATTTATTTATTCATGAGCTTGGCTATTGATGGTGGTGTGTTATCATTTAATGTGTTATAAAATGCTATACTTTTTCTCCCAGCATAGTGTGCAGGCTTTTAGAACATATTTTTACAAGTTTTTCAACATTGTTTTCCTTTTCAGAAAGTAGTGGTCTTTCTTTGTTATGTTGGAGATCCCAAGCACAGGTATGGTAGGTATGGGGGCAGATGAGAGAAAATGTTTCTTCTTAAACACAATGCCCAGAGGCAAAGAGAATCAAGGTTCAAAACACAGTTTAGAAGTTACTTTACTTCTCTTTCCTTTGTATCATATCTATAGTAATTCAAGCTTATCTGTATGCAGGCCAATCTTTAAACGTGATGCTCTACCATTATTTAAAAAAAATCCCTGGGAAAAAATAACAGTAGCCTAACAGAGGTTTTTCAGTTTAGTTCAGTTTTTGTTGCACTCACATTGCTTATGTGTGTTTGTCTTAATCTGATTGAGCAGCTGTCAACCTCCATATGGCAACCTGCCCACAATGACAATTTCCATGTTTGTTGTGTTAAGGGGAACCACCATTCTGAGAGAAGTGGTTATCTGGGGCAGGGCAGGGCAGGGCAGGGCAGGGCAGGAAGCCATAACATCACAGAGCAGATCATGGCTACTGCCCTTGAGGAGTGGCACTAACAGCATGTGGCCAGGCAGCATGAATCAAGTGTCTATCAATGGAATCATTAGCACTTTTGGAAAAAAAAAAAAAAAAACACTGATTGTTGTTGATTACCGAGGGATTTTGAAGCCCATCAATGAGCCTAACTTTTAAATATAGGTTAGTAGGCCAGCAAGTTTTCCCTCAGGCTCGTGCTTTTCTATTTAATCACAATATGTGAACTCCTTACGGAAAGGCGGGTGTCTCATCTGATTAGTTCAGAGCATAACGTAAGTGATCACAAGAGTTTGTGTTCATGATAAACTAACCAGAAATCCTAACTACATCATCCTCATTAGGATTAAAGAACCTGATTCTTTTACATTCAATTACTCTCACTGGGATGAAGTTCTAAAACATGTGACCAGCTCCATTCCAATGAACATAACTCTACTGGAAGGTTTATATTACAGATAACTCCACATAGGGAGCAGAGGGGTTATATTTAATATAGAATGTTTATATGTTATGTACTTCATATATATTTATGCTATTGATATCAAAATTTAACCAAGTTTTAATAGTTAGCAATAAATGTGCTACTGGGAAGTAAGTAAATATAAAGAGAAAAATAGGTCTGAAAGATGGAAATGTCAAGACCAGTTCCAAAGTTGGTTGTCACAATATTTGTTCCTAGTCTAAAAGGAATATTGACCAATCGCAGCAGCCACTGACCAAACTAAAGGAGGGACCACACTTGACTGTCATTAATGCTCCAACCAATCTGGCTCTGAAACTTGACTCCTGCCAGACTTCTGGAAGACTCTAGGGTGATCACTCAACCATGGCAATTACGACATAAGAGCTAAGCTACAGTAACAAAGGATGAAGTTATCAAAACTTTCAACCATTCAGAAAGCTCTTTCATACAACGCTCATATTCGCTTCATTCTATAAATGATAACAGCCAGTTTTCCATGTCTATCTTCATAAAACAAAGCAAGCCTCTCCGGCAATTATGCTCCCTGACCCCTCTCCCCTGAAAGATGCGAATGCATTGAAGGTACATGCTACAGCTCTGCATGAGCACTGAAACAACGACATGAGTTTATTCACAAAGTACCACTTTAGATTTATCTAGTTGCTAGGTTGTCCCATCTGATATTTTCACAATTATTTGGAAATTTGGGTTTTGTTTTTAATCTTAAAAGTAAAAAGATATTTTTAACCAGTTGATGATGTCTACTACTTATGAGCTCATCATTATTGTATCTCCACTTAAGTTCTCTCTACTTATATAAAGTAGAGAAAATTTTACTTGTTTTGGAAACTACTACATATAACCCAACATCTCACATTGCTCCTTATTGTATAAGAAATTAATATTTGATTTAAAAAATGAATTTTTTGATGATTTACTACTCTTCCACAAACACGGAAATAAGACTTTCTGTTTAAGGCTTCTTCTTTAAAAAGGATGCTATTGGTTCATTTTGTCTTCAACATTTTTCTGAAATACACTTTTACCACTACACTAGTCCTAAGCTGTAGGTGAAATGTTCCTCAATTACCTGGTGAAAACAATATTCCATCTTTAAAAGGACTAAGGCATTTTATTTAGATCAGAATGGACTTATCAATGTTTATAGTACTTAATTGTTATGTGTGTCTATATCTTGTTTACCACTTTGTAAGTTATTTGAAGAGAAATGTTTTCTTTCATTAATCTTTCTTACCATACAGTCTTGCCCCAATAAATGCTCTATAAATATTAGATGAATGAGCAACATGCATCTGAAAAAAATGGACCAATATCGGCATATTCTATGAATTTAGGTGTTAATTACACATTTCTTATTTTAAGTCTCTATGTTCTATCCTACCTTCCCAATGGTAGGAAATTATTTTTATCACTTTTACTTAAATATTTAAATTTCAGTTTTCCTTATAGAAAAATGAACATATTTCTAGTAATTATGAAATTGGGGAAATCTATAAGACTTTTGTAGGAAGTAGTGCAGTAAGGAAAAAAGAAAGCAACATTGTTGCTCTAAAGTAATTTATAATGTGTGATTCTGAATCTGGGAACTGAACTATATGAATATTCATGCAAAATGTGGACTGTTCTTTGTACTGTGTATAATCATCACTTCTGTTTTTCATTCGTTTAAATAATTTAATCTCCATCTGTATGCAATAAGTAAATTTAATAAACCTATTTTTCCTACAACTGAGGAGTAAATTCCATAGCAAAGTCTGAATGAAGATGTACTTTCTACATGTTCAAAAGATTATTAATTTTCTACATATATTAATCCAACTTACCTACTGTACTAATATCTGTTGTAAAATTTGCTCATTGTTTAGTATCATTTGAAAAAATAGTGTGTGATAAATTCAGCACAATTCTGTGCTTGTAAGATTTCGATAAGGAAAAAATTTGGCTT